CCTGTCCTATAGAGCTGCCCTTCTGTCCCGTAGAGCTCTCCCCTGCACCTTAGTGGTCTCTCCTCTCCCCTAGCGGTCTCTTCTCACACTCACCCACCCTCCCTGTGCTCTTCTCATTCCCCCCCCTCCACCCTCCCTGTGTTCTTCTCACTTCTCCCCTTCCTCACACCCGCTGTTAGTCTTACCCCCCTCCTCCCTGTGTTCTTCATACTTCCCCCCCTTGGTCGTCTTACTCCCCCACCTGTTCTTATTGCTCCCCCCCTTCTTCTTATTGCTCCCCCCCTTCTTCTTACCCCCTTCTTCTTACCCCCTTCTTCTTCTTCTTCCTCTTCCTCCCCCTTCTTCCTCTTCCTCCCCTTCTTCTTCTTACTCCCCCCCTCTTCTTCTTACTCCCCCCCTCCCTCTTCTTACTCCCCCTCCCTCTTCTTACTCCCCCCTCCCTTTCTTACTCCCCCCTCTTCTTCTTCTTACTCCCCCATCTTTTTTGCCCACTCCTCCTTCTTCTTCTTACCCCTCTTTTTTATTCCCCTCCTCCCTCTTCTTGTTCCCCCTCCCTCTTCTTATCCCCTCTTTTGTTCCCCACCTCTTCTCTTTTATTCCCCGGCTCCCTCTATTCCTCCCCTCTTCTTACCCCCTCCCTCCCTCCTCCCTCTCTTCTAACCCCTCCTGTAGCGTGGCCGAGCTGCACTCCAGTCCGCGGTGGCCGGCCGGAGTGATAGGAAGGTGCACACTGGGTGTGCACTTCCTGTCAGTCCGGCCGGTTACAGGAAACAGAAACTCCTGTTCCGCGCGGAACAGGAGTTTCTGTTTCCTGTACCCGGTCGGACTGACAGGAAGGTGCACACTGAGCGTGCACCTTCCTATCACTCCGGCCGGCCACCGCGGACTGGAGTGCAGCTCGGCCACGCTACAGGGGAGAAGCTGCAGCCGCCTGAGGCTCTTAACAGAGCGCTCAGGCGGGTGCAGCATTTAAAGGGCCGGCCCGCCGCGGCCGGCCTTACAGGAATTTAGGGCGGCCTGGGGGGCAATTGCCTCCCTGCCCCCCGGCCCAGCCCGCCCCTGGGCACAGACAAAGCAGGCCAATCAAGGTGGCACAGACATAGCAGGCCAATCAAGGGAGCACAGACAGAGCAGGCCAGGTGTGGGCACAGTTAAGGGCAGGCCAGACCCAGAGCAGAAAGTACTGAAGTGAAAATCTGTGAGTTATGTGTTCAGCAGTGTAATCCAGGGCAGGCTGGTAGGCCAGAAGAGGCCTCCGAGCAGGGGCTGCAGGCCACCTGAGTATGGATCCACCCCCCTGGGTGCCAGCCCAGTGTCACCCCGGACCTTTGGTGGAGCAAGTGGGACCAGAAGGCTGTAAGCACCCCAAAATAACCCCCCAGTACCTGAAACCATTGGCCAAACTCCATCAGAGGAACTTCTGGGCTGTGTGGGGAGGACAGGAGGAGGCCGGGAGCTGCTGCTCCCACGTGGTTGGCCGCACACCCTTCTCCGCCCCTGTCAACCGCGGGCTATGATCTGGAGCTCAGTGCGGTCAGGTAACAGAGAGAGAGAGGGCCGTAGGACTGAAGGCGTGCCAAGCGTTGGCGCTAGGCAAGCAAGCCGAGAGACTCCACACGTGGGGGCCGCTGGAGACGAACTCCGCGGCCGCGGCAGTCGCGAGATCAGGGAGGCAGCGAGATGACCATCTCCCACGATGCCCATGCAAAGGGTATAAAAGAGGGCAAAGAATAGAATAAGGAAAAGAAAGAGGTGGGCAGGGAAGCCCAATGAAATCCCCAGAGGGGTAAAGCTAATGCAGACAGCCACAGAAGAACAATAACAATAAGAAAACCCCTGAAACAAATTACAAATACACCAAAATAAACAACAACAAAAGTCCACAGCCACCCATGTAGGAATAGGAGGCAGTGATACTATGAACTTTGCTTGTTGTGGAGCAGCAAAGAAAGAGGAAGTATTTGGTTTGGAGGGGACTTTTATTGTTCCTTACTTTTTTCTCATTAGTTGTTTCTCTTCATGTAAATGTGCTGCTGTGGAGTTCTAGTAAAGAGAGATTTAAGCAAATATGATGCCTCCTGTCATGTTATAAAATTCATACTATTTATGTATGATATTTCAATGCAAAATCACAAGATATCAAAATAAGATAGATACCTTAACCTCACTCTTCTAACAACAAAATGATAAGTAATACATCATTTAAAGGTACTAATGAAAATAAATGAAAGCAGTGTTGGATGTGCTGTATTTTTATGCCTTACTGCTATAAGAAAGCTCTCCCCATACTCAAAGACACAATAAAATAAAAACTACTTATAGCAGCTCACAATCCCAGCATCTGCTGAAACAGGCCTTTGCTGGATGCAGATCAATTATTGGTGACACATCTGTCACAGGCTGTACATTTCCAATTTATCTGTCTCCCAAAGTAGGCAAGATGAATGAATTTCACTTGCAAGCTGTATTAAAAATATGTTCTGCACATACAAGATAAACCCTGATTTAGATACAACTACAGCTGATTCTATTTTGTGGCTTATAGGACTTGTCCCAAATTAAGAACAGATTAAGTCAGAATAAATAAAGAAAGTAATTATAGGAAAGAAGATAGACATCATATTTTCCGAATAA